ACAGAGAGAACACGAGCATAGATGTAATTTTAAAAATACATTGATTCATATTCCTCTCAACATGATTTTTTTTAAAGGATGGTTTATTGCAATTCTGGGACGAATTTCTGCACTTACTTAAGGGCCCCAAAGTAAAGAGAATCTGTGGAACCTTAGTACTGGACTGCTCTTTAATCTCTATTTCCCAAACAATTGGGGCAAAAACCAGTAACTGGTGTATGTGATATGCCTCATGCTGCTGGGGTAATCACCCAGAGCCCAGGAAAAGCTCAGGGAAAAGACCAGATGCATTTCCTGCCACACACAACATCAAATGCATGGCTCTTCTTCAGTCTTTTCATTCAGTCACATTATCTTCATTACTATTTGATCATTCCTATCAAAGGGACCAAAATTCTGCCCTTCCATGTGTGTGAAGGTCTCCCTTTGAAGTCAGACGGAGCCCCACGCATGTATTTTAGAGCAGGCTGTTTTGTCCATTGATTGCTGTTGCTCTTGGTTAGGCTATGCCTCAGATGACTGTACATTCCAGTTTGTTTTTACATTGAGGCTTCTGCCAAAGAAGGAAATTGTGCCTGATTGGCACATAATTGTTAAAATCAATTGCCATGTGACCCCATGGTCCTGTTGTTATGGTGCAGTTTGGGAACTGGGAGATCAGATTCGGAGTCTTGTCTTCGCCACAGACTCCCTGAGAAATCTTGGGGAAGTTAGTTTCCTTGTCCCTCAACTTGTCATCCATAAAATGGGATAATTTGTGTTTGATTTTCCAACTCTTTCAGGGAAGGAAGGTGAAATAAGCTGTGCCCACAAAAGCTCATGATACCATCTACATGTTTTGTTAGTCAATAAAGTGCTACCACACCTTTTGTTGTTGCTCAAGTTTATCCTCTACAGACTAACTCGGCTGCCGCCGGAGGCTTCTTATGTACAATGTCCAGCATAATGGGGTTGTGATCTTCGCTGGAATCTCTGGACACGGCTGCAATTCAATTAATGATAAAAAGGCGCTCTTGTAATACAAAAAGATTGTGTAATTGCACCCAGGAATCTGAGACAATTGGCGAATTAGACATCCAGTTAATGTATCCATCCGTTGATTAATTTTCATCATGGATATTTCCTAATGTTGGCTTTGATGGCAATTAGGGTAAATTAAACTTGTAATGAATGTACAACTGCTGGACTAGAATGGGGTTATGGTAATCGTTAGAGTGGAGTTGTACAGAAATTGGTTTCAGAAGCTTTTAGAAGAGTTAGTTATCCGACCCAAAACAAGATTGATGCAGTTGGCACTAATGAAAGCAAATAGACTAGAGAATGCAAACAGTCTAATTTTGAATTTATTAACAGCATTAAAGCCTGTGCAGACAATTAGACTTGCATTTTGAGCATTATTGGGGGAAGCAAAACTGTGTGTTTAGAAAGTTGAAGGTCAGTTTTCATTTCCATTTGTCTTCTAAAGCATTTAAAGGGAAGCTGTTCTGCTAGAATGTATATGGCTAAGCATCAGTCATGGACCTTGGGGAAACCTCAAATTACTAGTAATTAACTTTATTGCATGGGGTTAATTAATAAGAGGTAACTGAAATAGGCAGAAACCACGTTAATCAGTTAATGATATATTCTGAAAGTGATGATAACACAGTATTGTGCTTAGCACTTCACATCTTTTAAGTGCTGAACAAGCAGTCAGTGTTTATTCTTTCTAATGTTCCTGTGAGGTAGGAATTACTATCCCTGTCTTACAGGTGGCATAGCTGAGACATACCGGCCTTTTACCGGCATTCTGGTTCACGGGCTCAGGAGGAAAGGTGTTTATCAATGGAGGGGGAAGAATGTCTAAGGTGGCCATGAGCCCCAGAAAATCAGCATTCTTGTAAGCCCAATGTGAGCCTCTGAAGTGGGAGTGAAACTTAAGGTAGCCGAATGGCTGCTCTAGCTTGCAGGATGGGCTGTCCTTTGCCTCTACAGGATATGAAAAGAGCAGAGCAAATTCTATCCCTGTATCAGCACATGTATTTGGCCCAGGGTTATGAAGTGTCCCACACATTACATCACCCTTCTCTTTGCTGCTATAAGGAGTGTGCAGAAATTCTGTGTACTCCAATAGTTTGAGAAGCGGGGTAAACGCTGGAGAATCTTGTGTTCCATTCCTGGTGACTTGACGTGACCACAAGAGTGTCACTTCTTCTCTCCATGCCCCAGCTTGCCAGTCTATGACCAGGAATAGAAACACCTGCCTCATGTAGGTGCTGGGAGTTAAATGATGTTGGGACAGTGCCCTGGGATCTTGTTGATAAATGGATCTATACAAATGCAGAGTAGCATTTCTGGCCTTTACCAGCCATTGCATAGGGTACATCTATGAAGGGGACAGGACATCAAGAGGCTGGATTTATGACATTTGGGGTGTGTCTAAACTACACCCCTCTGCCAACAGAGGGATGTAGATTAGGCACATCGCTATTGCAAATGAGTCGGGATTTAAATATCCCATGCTTCATTTGAATAGAAATGGCTGCCGCTTTTTGCCGCCGTGGCACTTTGCTGGAAATAAGCGGCAGTCTGGATGGGGATCAGTCGACAAGAAAAGCCTTTTCCGACCGATCCTTTATGCCTCGTGCAACGAGGTTTCCAGGATCGGTCAGAAAAGGCTTTCCTTGTCAACCGATCCCCGTCTAGACTGCCACTTTTGGCCGGCAACGTGCCGCGTCGGCAAAAAGCGGCGTCCATTTCTATTCAAATATGGAAGTGTTATTTACCCCCTTTTCATTCTCCAAGAAGCTGAAGTCACTGATGGAATTAATAGGCATCAGAAGGAAATATGCCTTTGCCCTCTGCACAGTCAACCTGTCGAACTTGTTGCCAGGGATGTTGCGAAGACCAAATGTCAAGACCACTAATGGGGAAGGGGAGTAAAAGGGACAGTTGCCCAAAGGCCCAGAAATTCAAAAGACCCAGGGGCTCCCGCCCATCACTGCTGTCACTTCCTCAGCCGCAGCAGTGACCTGAGCCGGGACACTTTTAATTGCGGCTGGAGCGCTGCACTCTGGGTGGTTGTGAGGCTTGCGTGGGAAGGCTGAGGGCTGGCTGCTGTGGCCCCGCCTCCTCCGCACGAGGCCCTGCCCCTTCCAGGAACACAGAGTTGGCTCCCCCCAGCCTTGCCCCGGGACCCAGTGAGACTTTCGGCCCCTCTGCAAAAAGTCTTGCCTGTTCATTCTTCTGTTTCATGTGTCACTCTAGTAGAGCATTTCCCTCTTCATTAAGGGGACACTCGGGTGCTCCAACCAGGCAGGGCTGGCCTTACCATAGGGCAAATTGAGGCAGCCACCTCCGGTGCCAGACTCTACGGAGGTGCCACTAGGACCCAGAGTGTTGAAAATTGTGTCTGCTGCTGTTGCATATGTAGGTAGCAGAGCAGCACCAAGAGAAGAGTAGAACAGGAAGAAGGCAGAATTGAGACCTTTCAAAGTTTTGACCCGAGCATGGGGGCGTCATTTGAGCTCTCCGCCTCTGGTGCCAAAATGTTGTGGGCTGGCCCTGCAACCAGGTGGTGGTTTTGCAGAAACCTTGTATGGGAGCTGGGATGCAGTTTTCCCCCCTGTTCCCTATAAGATGCTTTTCAGGCCCTCAGTGTTTGGATCAGCATGCGATTCAGGGGCTAGATGTGCCTTGTACTCCTGTAGGGCTGATGAAAAATCGGAAGTCGAGCTCTAACTGCTGCATGCATATTATTTGCATCTGGTACTCTTATGCTTAATGATACCCCTGTCTGGATTTGAATATAAACAGTGGCTTGTTTTCCAGAGCCCTAGAGGAAGCAATCTGTGAAAAGATCTTGAAGTTGTAGTCCTCAGTTAAATAACATGGTGGGATATGTAATAAATGATGCCACCAGCCACAGGAAAACACTGGTGTATTTTTGGTGCATGCATCTGTCGTCCTCACAGAGGAGCTGAACGTGCCCTCCTGCTCAGAGCGATGGCTAGTGTAAAACAGTGTCGCTCCATTGACTTCATTGCTGATTGATACCTGCTCTGGATATGGCCCAGGGAAAGATGCACAGGCTGAGCAGTTACAACCAGGGGAACAAATCATGCTGTTGTCGTGTGTGTGGAGTGGCCCGATTGTTTTTCCTTCCCAGCCTCTTCTAAGTGATTCACTGTGTATAAATAGGTGACTGACTCAGAAACCAAACATACAACATGAAGGAGATTATCCAATATACAGCAGGAAAGATACACACTGGGGCACACTCCGCTTTGAGCGATGATGGTGTAACCCCGTCGGAGACAACGGAGTGACTCTGGATGTACGTTGGTGTAACGGAGATCAGAATTTACCTTCCCGTGTTTCAAATTGCATTTGCCTCCTACAGCTTTGACTTCTGTTCAATTCCCTTGCTGGGTACTCTTATACCTCTTTCTTCATTTAATAATTGCTTGGCAATAATGCTTCGGAGGATCCCCAACTGAAATGAAGAGATGAGCAGAGAACATACAATTCATAAACCCATATTCCCTTTTACTTTGAGGCATATGTATTGTTTGTGCTTCCGCTGCTGAAGTGCAGCTTAATTTTTATAGCTGGAAGCTACATTAGCCCATAGAAGGAAAGGGGGGTGGGGTGGGGAATGAGAAAAAGAAAAGCTTTTCTTTTGAAACAAGCTCTTCTATAGCTTTTTCACCTGGTATTTGTTCCTCTTATCTGAGATCAGAATGAAAGTGGCATTTTGGTTCCTTAGGGACAGAAAACAAGCTGGGTTTGTTGTTATCAGTAAGCACTTCCCTTTGAATGTATTCTGTATGGTATAAGGTATTTGTTCAGAATGTTGTTGTTTCAAGCGAATCACAGAGCAGAGGAAGAATATTTTCTTTCAGCCATTGTGTGAAGAGACGCAGACCCCAGAAGGTTGGGAAGTGGGGGAAAACAATCCGTGCCTGTACTATCTCTGCTGAAATGCATTGAATTAATTTTTTTTTAACCTCTCCAATTAGATGCTTGCCCAACTACTGTGAACATGGAGGAAAATGCTCTCAGTCCTGGACTACCTTTTTCTGTGATTGTAGCGAAGTGGGTTACATGGGAGCAACCTGCCATAATTGTAAGTAAACCAGTTAAGCATGCTCGGATAAAGTTGGCCTGATGGAGATTGTGCCGCTAAAGCACAGAGGGAATGCTTGGAGAAGCCATCTGTTATTACAGGAAGCAATAGACTGTGCTCTGACAGGATTGCAAAGGGTCAGCAGCTAGCCTAGAAACAGGAGAGGAATCCATTACACAAACACACAAGTCTCTTGACACACTTAAAGAACAATTTCTGGAGATAAATCAAAAGTCAAAGGACTCTCTTTTGCTCTCCTTTATCATATCCCCTCATCTCCTTCTTTTCAGCAGTCACCAAAGAATTGGATTTCTTTTTTCTAACTTGCTGTTTCAGTACTTTTCACATTTTACGGGTTCATCAAGATCCCTTGCTTTAGAAAGTGTGTATGTGTGTTTGGGGGATGTCCATAATAACAATGGGAACATGTAGAGGGGTGAAGAGAGGGTTGGAAGTATGACATGAGATGTTCGGTACTTTGCTAACATGTCTGTAAGGTGTAGAGGATATATTCTGTTAAACAATTTCTTGATTTTACATGGTTTTGTAACTTCATACATGTGGCAAGGCAGCGTTAACTCTTTTCCGCAACATTTTTTGCATATTAATATAAAAATATATGAATTCTATCTGGTCAAAATGTATGTGGTACAATGTTTTGATGACATTTCAGAATTTAAAATAGCAATATAGCTTTAATGCTGGTCAGTTATCTTGGTACTCTATTCCATTTCAAATGTTTTTGGGGGGAAAGGGAATTCTTTGAGAAAATATTTGTAATTTGTTTCTTGCTTTCTTTTTTACGCATGTCGAAGTCCATTCATCAATAAGTGTGCACATAGGCATGTGGGCATATGTCCATTGCTGTGTATGTCCACCAAGGTGCTTAGACTTCATGAGATAAATCTTTTTATCTTCCTCCTGTTGGTGTGAGGGCAGAAGACAAACTGGGACATGCTTCATTTGCATTTTATTACCCATCATTTAGCCTTGAAAAAGTCAATTGTTTTGGCTCATTTTCATTTAAGTGTTGCGTATTAGAGCAATTAATTGTGCTTCACCTTCTTGTGTAATGAGAGGGCAAAAGAGCTGTACGGAATAGTCCCTGCGTGAGGTGTCACTGTAACCCTAACCAGGTGTGCAGGGGTGAGGTGGAGTGCATGTGAGTAGAGTAAAAGCCCGTCTTGCTGTATGAGGAGAGGTCTGATTCCAAGACCAATGAGGCTTGTTGTACTGCTCTTCCCAAGAAAGAGGGTTCACAACTTGAGAAAAGTGATACAGTGTTGAGCTGGATTTCTGAGTCTCCCCAGGCAAGCCTCGGCAGTAGGAGGTTCTGGGGGGGTTTATGAGAATGGATGCTAGACAGTGTCAGCCACCATGTCATGGACTCGGTTTCATCTGAGCTGTGGCTGGGAAATCCCACTATGTCCAGGCCCACCCATTTTGCCTATATAAACCCATGCTAACTGCACGGCTGCTTCCCCTGCTTCAGGTTTCAACATAGGGATGTTAAACATCAGAATTTTCAGAATGGAGAGGGGTAACTAGTGGTGTCCCCCAAGGGTCAGTCCTGGCACCAATCCTGTTCAACTTATTCATAAATGATCTGGAGAAAGGGGTAAGCAGTGAGGTGATAAAGTTTGCAGATGATACCAAACTGTTTAGGATAGTCAAGACAGAAGCAGACTGTGAGGGACTCCAAAAAGATCTCACCAAACTGAGTGATTGCGCAACAAAATGGCAAATGAAAATTAATGTGGATAAATGTAAAGTAATGCACATCAGGAAAAATAACCCCAACTATACGTACAGTCTGATGGGGGCTAATTTGGCTATGACAAATCAGGAAAGAGATCTCGGAATTATCATGGACAGTTCTCCAAAAACTTCCACACAGTGTGCAGTGGCGGTCAAAAAGGCAAATAGGATACTAGGAATTATTAAGAAAGGGATAGAAAATAAGACCCAGAATGTTTTACTGCCCCTTTATAAAACTATGGTAGGCCCACATCTTGAATACTGTGTACAGATGTGGTCTCCTCACCTCAAAAAAGATATTTTGGCCTTGGAAAGGGTTCAGAAAAGGGCAACTAAAATGATTAGGGATTTGGCAAAAAGGCAAATAGGATACTAGGAATTATTAAGAAAGGGATAGAAAATAAGACCCAGAATGTTTTACTGCCCCTTTATAAAACTATGGTAGGCCCACATCTTGAATACTGTGTACAGATGTGGTCTCCTCACCTCAAAAAAGATATTTTGGCCTTGGAAAGGGTTCAGAAAAGGGCAACTAAAATGATTAGGGATTTGGAACGGGTCCCATATGAAGAGAGGTTAAAGCGACTGGGACTTTTCAGTTTAGAAAAAAGGAGATTGAGGGGGGATATAATAGAGATTTATAAAATCATGAGTAGTGGGGAGAGGGCAGATAAAGAAAGTTATTAGTTCCCATAATAGAAGAACTAGAGGACACCAAATGAAATTACTGGGTAGCAGGTTTAAAACTAATAAAAGAAAGTTCTTCTTCACACAGCGTGTAGTCAACCTGTGGAACTCCTTGCCAGAGGAGGCTGTGAAGGCTAGGACTATAATAGAGTTTAAAGAGAAGCTAGATAATTTCATGGAGGTTAGGTCCATAAAAGGCTATTAGCCAGGGGATAAAATGGTGTCCTAGGCCTCTGTCTGTCAGAGGCTGGAGAGGGATGGCAGGAGACAAATCGCTTGATCATTGTCTTCGGTCCACCCTCTCTGGGGCAC